ATAGCAAAAGGTCCTTGTTTGTTATATACTTATACTGAATTATTTAGAAGAAAATGTAACTGTAATTTACAATATTTTGGGGGAAAAGGCAAGTAAGGCAAAATAACAGCTGCTAAATCTAAGTGATCTATATATGGAAATTCATTATGTTATTCTCTCTCCTTTCATTTGAATGTCTAAAATTTTCATAACAGATGATAAAATACAAATAAATTCCTGACCTATTAATTCATTTCTCACCAACTAAATATCTACCTCATTAAGCAAATAATTATTCTAGAAAGAACACTTGTGAATATACAATATAGAAGTTAATATTATTCATAACTTCAAAATGTCCTTTAATTTATTCTTATGTTTCAGAAAATAGGCTTCTCCATTATTGTTGACCTATGCATTTCAACTAGTATGCTACTTCACATAATCACTTACTTATTAGTACACTTTAAATGTTCACTTGGTTCTGGTTCTGCTGCTTTACTTTCCCTAACCCCCAATTAGCCTACATCAATATCTTCATTGCTAAAACAGTACAGCTTCAACAGCACTAGAAGACAGTATCTAGCTACATGAGAAAAGCTGCATTACTCTGCCGCAAAATAAGAAGAGGAAACCCTAAGAGCTAAGTTTCTTTTCTGTCCAGTGTGTAATCACCATTTTCCTTCATTCTTTTAAGCTAATGTGTCAAACATAGCTTAAAGTACATAGTTTAAGTACTATAAATTCTTTTTAAAAAGCTATGTTGATAATTATTTTACCTGGAAAGTATCAGTTTGCTTTTAAACATTATTCGAAGATATACTCCATAAGTGTAATTTTATTATACCTCAAGAACTTTTTTTTTTTTTTTTTTGAGACAGAGTCTTGCTCTGTCACCCAGGCTGGAGTGCAGTGGCACGGTCTCAGCTCACTTGAATCCGTCTCCCGGGTTCAAGAGATTCTCCTGCCTCAGCCTCCTGAGTAGCTGGGATTACAGGCATGCGCCACCATGCCCAGCTAATTTTTGTATTTTTAGTAGGGATAGGGTTTCGCCATGTTGGCCAGAATGGTCTCCATCTCCTGATCTCATGATCCGCCCGCCTCGGCCTCCCAAAGTGCCGAGATTACAGGCATGAGCCACTGCACCCAGCCCAAGAACAGTTTAATAAGAACTCTTCCTCTTAATTTTATAAACATTAACCTCTTAAATCTGTATAAGACATTCTATTTAATGTAACTCCTTAAAAAAATCACATCCCACAAATGATTATCTTTAGTGACAAAAATCTAAGTCTAGCTTGTTAAATTTTCCTCTGTAACATATTCTCTTAACAATTCACATCCTTGAATACTAAGTCAGTTCCTGCAAATGAACTAATCAATTTTTTAAAAACTAACAAAAATTAAAAGGTATCAAACATTGCTCTCATAAAAATAAATACAAAATTAACATATTGCTAGTCAATGCAATTTCAAACGAACAATGCAAAATTTTAGTCTTTATATAGATTTAATCAAGTGTTTTGGCTTCTCCTAAGGGTTAAGAAGTTTAAAATTATTACTATTATTATTATTATTTTTTTTGAGATGTTGTCTCACTCTTGTCACCAAGGCTGGAGTGCAACGGCACAATCTCGGGGCTCACTGCAACCTCTACCTCCAGTTCAAGCGATTCTCCTGCCTCAACCTCCCGAGTAGCTGGGATTACAGGTGCCTGCCACCACACCCTGCTAATTTTTTTATTTTTTAGAGACGGGGTTTTGCCATGTTGGCCCGGCTAGTCTCTAACTCCTGACCTCAGGTGATCCACCCACCTCAGCCTCCCTAAGTGTTGTGATTACAGGCATGAGCCACCAAGCCTGACCAAGTTTGAAATTATTAATGGTCTTTTTTTTTTTTTTTGAGACGAAGTTTTATTGTTGGTGTCCAGGCTTGAGTGCAATAGCACAATCTTAACTCACCGCAACCTCTGCCTCCCAGGTTCAAGCAATTCTCCTGCCTCAGCCTCCTGAGCAGCTGGGATTATAGGCATGCACCTCCATGCTCGGATAATTTTGTATTTATAGTACATACGGGGTTTCTCCATGTTGGTGAGGCTGGTCTTGAACTCCTGACCACAGGTGATCCGCCCGCCTCAGCCTCCCAAAGTGCTGGGATTACAGGCATGAGCCACGGCGCCCAGCCTAAAATTATTAATGTTCTAACCAGCTGTTTACAGAGTTGTTCCACTAACAAAATCCATGTCCTGGACTTAAATAATTGCTAAAATGTTTTACACATAGCAGCTAAATTAATCACACTAATATGATACCAGAAACAACTGATTCATCTATGTGCAACCTCATTTCCTTCAGATGCCTCCAAGACAACTGAAATTCATAGGTTTTGTCCAGTTGCAATTACAGACTCAAATCAGCTTGGATTTGAGTTAGGATACATGGATTGTTTTTTTGTTTGGTTAGTTGGTTGGTTTTGTTCTGTTTTTCAATTCAGGCATCTTGCTCATGGAACACTCATTATTTGCTTGAGATTGCTTTAATTGCCAGCTGCTTACCTTATTTACCACTGGAGTATAATCTACACCCTTTGACTCAATTGCTTTCTAAATTATCCCTTCAATTAATAACTTTCTAGGCTCAAAGCAAAAAGAAGAAAGAAAGGAATATTTATTGGCCACGATTACAGTAACAGTCAGATAAGGCTGGGCGCAGTGGCTCATGCCTGTAATCCCAATACTTTGGGAGGCCAAGGCAGGTGGATTACCTGAGGTAAGAGGTTCAAGACCAGCCTGTCCAACATAGGGAAACCCATCTCTACTAAAAATACAAAAATTAGCCGGGCATGGCAAGGCATGCCTATAATCTCAGCTACTCTGGACACTGAGGCACGACAATTGCTTGAAACCAGGAGGTGGAGGCTGCAGTGAGCCGAGATTGTGCCACTACACTCCAGCCTGGGTGACAGAGTAAGACTCCGTGTGTGGTGGGTGTGTGTGTGTGTGTGTGTGTGTGTGTGTGTAAAATAAAAATAAAACTAGCCAGGCATGGTGGCGGACGCTTGCAATCCCAGCTATTTGGGAGGCTGAGGCAGGAGAATTGTTTGAACTCAGGAGGCAGAGGTTGCAGTGAGCCAAGATCCGTGTCACTACACTATAGCCTGGGTGACAGAACGATACTGCACTTCAAAAACAAAACAAAACAAAAGTCAGATAGACACTTGATTTCTTCTTTCTCATTGATATTTTTTAAATTCATCCGCAGGCCAGCTGCAGTGGCTCATACTTGTAATCCCAGCACTTTGGGAGGCCAAGGCGGGCAGATCACTCACAAGGTCAGGAGTTCAAGACCAGTCTCACCAATATGGTGAAACCCCGTCTCTACCAAAATTACAAAAATTAGCCTGGCATAGTGGCCGGCACCTGTAGTCCCAGCTACTCAGGAGGCTAAGGCAGGAGAATTGCTTGAACCCGGGAGGTGGAGGTTGCAATGGGCCGAGATCAAGCCACTCTCCAGCCTGGGCAACAGAGCAAGACTCCATCTCAAAAGAAAAAAAAAAAGAAAAAAATTTCATCTTCAATATTTACAAAAAAAAAAAAAAAATCCATGCTAGTAGTTGATATGTCACAGAAATTTAAGAAATGCATGGTAAAAATCACTACGTTTAAAATAATGTTTACCTCTGGGGATGAGAGAAGAGACAGATGCATTCGGGGTTGGGTACACAGACCACTTCAACTGTCATGTTAATGTTTGATTTTTTTTTATGTTGGATGGTGAGAAGAGAGATTCTTTGTATTATTCCTTATATATTTGTATATATCTTATGTATTTCATAACATAATTAAAGTCTCACCTAAAAGATAAAGAAAAGTTAATCTCACATTCTTTCATCACCCCCTGTACCATCAAAAAAAAAAAAAAATGGAATCATACTAGAGGATTCCGCAACTTACTTTTCTCACCTAATCATCCATCGTAACATCCTCTAGGTCAAAAGTCAAAATATTCCATTAATATTTATGTACCAAAATTTATTCAGACATTCTCCTATTGATGGATACACAGGTTGCTTCCAGTTGTCACAACAAAGTTGTACAAAAGTATTCTTGTTCATGTGTCATTATATACTGGTACTTTTATCTCTGTAGGATAGATTCTTAAAAGTCAGACTTTTGAGTTCCAGTTTTTGTTCAAGAGACATCTGTATTTTTTATTTCCCTAAATATTGCCAGGTTCTTTTGTAAAAGGTTGCAGCAATTCATACTCTCCAGCAATGCTTGAAATTTACTTTAACCATATAAGCATTTAACCACATGTTAGATGTCACTTTTTACTGTCTTACCCATATAATAAACATGTTATGCTTAACATAGATTTAATTTCACCAACAGATTTGAAAACAGGAGACCCAGCTCTTTTCTGAGTGAGTAATCAACCTAGCAATATACAAAATGTGGCAAATACCCCAAAGATTAAGTGTACACACACACACAACTCTGAGATACTTCAAGAACAAATATTGAGTATTATATGCCCAAAACTCCACATTTAAAGTAGATATAGTGGGCATAGAAAAAATAAAATTGTTTAATCTAGTGCATAATGAATACGTTACAAACAAGTTAATCAAAACTAAGAAGTTTGGACGCCAAAGGCAGATTAAAAAAATAATAAGTCAGGCCCAAGAAATTAGGCTGTTGCTAAGAGCACTCCGAGGAGATGGAATCCATTTTGGCCCGACACGGTGTTAATAAAAACTCATTTAAACAAGGAAAAAGGAGAGAACGACCCAGATATCCCTCCTAGAAGCTAGCTTCTGCAGCCTCCTAGCCTCATCAGTAGAAGTTAGGTGATCAGAGAGAGAAATTATTCTCCGATATTTTGAAGAGACGGGAGAGAAAAATGGAATATAGGCCGGTTACTCCTCCCACTCATTACTCCCCCCACTCAGGCCACGCGATCTCAAAGTGTGTAGCCCCGCCAACGGCCACTTCTCTAGCCAACGTGAGGCTAATGACTCACCACAACAATATAACTGGAGAGTTTCTGTACTTTTGTTAGTGGAGTCATACTTCGGACGCCTTGCAACCCCCTTTAAGGACGCAGTAATTGTATCCCGAGCAAACGCCGCCATCTTAAGTCTTCCACTAGCACTAGGGCATAGGCTGATAAAAGCCGGGGGTGGGCGTCACAGGCAAACAGGCCCCGCGCCCAGCCGCAGTGCACTACCTAAATGCCTCCGGCGGCAACGTGCCGCAGCCTTTGCCGTGGCCCCTCCCCCAGTTTTCCTAACGTGTTGCACTTCCTCCTTATCTCTTTTGAGATGCCCTCTTCCTTCTTCTTTCTCTTCATTCCTTTTTTCCTTTCCCAACCCAAATTTCTTTTAACTTTGCCTCGACTCCTTTCTTTTTTCCCTATTTCCAGATCTCTCACTCTCATTAACTTTACATCACAAGTGCATGGTACTTTATGATAGACAAAGCTGTCATTTACTTCTGTTATCACACTAAGTCACTGCAACGTCAGATAAGCTGAGGACTGATTTTTTTTTTTTTTCTGTTTTATAGATGAGGAAACTAAGGCACAAAGAGGTGACCCAAATTTCCAAAAGTTCCAACAGTTATTAAGTGCTAGAATGAGCTAGAACCTACTTCTTTTCACTTGACTAAGCCCCGTGTTCGGACAGATGAGTGTGTATGTACTTCAACCAACTAATGGGAAAACTGACGCCGGAAAGTTTTGGCCTAGTCACACAGTGAGTCCATCAATGGCAAAACTGGATTCAGAACAAGCTGCTTCCTTTAATTCTGTAAACAAAAGAGTCTTCATAAAAGAGTCGATAGTCGGGTGTGGTGGCGAGTGCCTGTAATACCACTGTAATACCAGCTACTTGGGAGGCTGAGGTGGAAGAATGACTTGAAGCCGGGAGGCGGAGGTTGCAGTGAGCCAAGATCACACCACTGAACTCCAGCCTGGGCGACCCAGCCAGACTCCGTCTCAAAAAAAAAAGAGTTGGGATGCTACTCTTGAGCCTAAAAGTCCTTACATCTTCCTTCTTCTTCAATTTATTTGTTTTTTGTTTTTTGGTGGTTTTTTTTTTTTTTTTTTTTTAGACGGAGTTTCGCTGTTGTTACCCAGACTGGAGTGCAATGGCACGATCTCGGCTCACCGCAACCTCCGCCTTCTGGGTTCAAGTAATTCTCCTGCCTTAGCCTCCCGGGTAGCTGGGACTACAGGCGTGTGCCACCATGCCCAGCTAATTTTTGTATTTTTAGCAGAGACGGGGTTTCACCTTGTTGACCAGGATGGTCTTGATCTGTTGACCAGGATGGTCTCGATCTATTGACCTCGTGATCCACCCGCCTCGGCCTCCCAAAGTGCTGGGATTATAGGCGTGAGCCACCGCGCCCGGCCTATTTATTTGTTTTTTTATTTTTTTTCTTTTTGAAATGCAGTTTTCCTCTGCCGCCCAGGCAGGAGTGCAGTGGCATGATCTTGACTCACTGCAACCTCTGCCTCCCGGGTTCAACCGATTCTCCAGCCTCAGCCTCCGTAGCTGGGATTACAGGAGTGTACCACCATGCCTAGCTAATTTTTGTATTTTGAGTAGAGAGGCTCACCATAATGTCCAGGCTGGTCTCGAACTCTTGACCTCAAATGATCCACCTGCCTCAGCCTCCCAAAGTGCTGGTATTACAGGTGTGAGTCACTGCACCCAGCCTCCCTCTTCTTTTAGATTTAGCTCAATTAAATTGGCTGGGCGTGGTGGCACGCGCTTTAATCCCAGCTGCCCGTGGGGCTGAGGCAGGAGAATCGCTGGAACTCGGGAGGCAGAGGATGTAGTGAGCTGAGATCGTGCCACTACACTCCAGCCTGAGCGACAGAGCAAGACTCTGTCTCAAAAAAATAATAATAATAATAATATATATATGGATTCAGCTCAAGTCCTGACTCTTCTAAGAGGCCTCTATATTTATCAAAAACTTTATCTCTGTTGTTCCTACTCCATGAGGGAAAATATACTACCTGGATACCAGCCCCAAAAGTATTAAATAACCAAGGTCAAAACTTGTTTGTGAAGCACTGTGTGTGAGTGGTATATGTTTGTAGGGGAAGGCTTGTGCTTCACAGGTAAGGAAAAGACACTTTAGAGGCTCTAATCCTTTACAATTCTGTAGTTTCTCTCTATGCACTAATGTTGACTCTGGTGTTCTAATGTGATCATACAAAGCCTCTTATTCTATTCATTTGCCTCATTACTTTTTCTGTCTTTATTTTGATATTGTCACCCTCAAAAGGAAGGTAATGATACACAGTTGTAGAAAACATCCAGGCATTGACATAGGAACATTTTGGAGTAAAACACTACATAAAACCAGTTATGTGGGCTAAGACGCGGTGGCTCACACCTGGAATCCTAGCACTTTAGGAGGCCAAGGCAGGCGGATCATGAGGTCAGGAGTTCGAGACCAGCCTGGCCAACATAGTGAAACCCGGTCTCTACTAAAAAAAATACAAAAATTAGCTGAGCATGGTGGCCCGAGCCTGTAGTTCCGGCTACTTGGGAGGCTGAGGCAGAAGACTCGCCTGAACCCGGGAGGCAAAGGTTGCAGTGAGCTGAGATGGCCCACTGCACTCCAGCCTGGGAGACAGTGAGATTTCGACTCAAAAAAAAAAAAAAAAAAAACAGATATGTGTCCAATGGTCAGATGGTCAGTAAAGAGGTGGAGAGGTCTTTAAACTGAAACTGTGTCATCTAGGGTTTAGGCATGCTTGAGCATATTTTGGAAATTTATAAGACAGGCACCAAAAGCCAATTGCAAAAGGAACTGTTGAGCTCCTAAGAAAGAACTAGTACTAAAAGAGTATGGAATAAGATAGACAATGTAGGGTAAAAGAAGGATCAAGTCTGAATGTTGCAGATGAAGCAAATATGACTGTAAATTCTGACACATTTTCTTGAGTGGCATTCTTTTGGCAATAGCACGCAGTGTATTTATTTTGAGCCAGTACAAAATATCTCTCTGCAGTAATTTTTTTTGTTTTTTGGAGACAGAGTCTTGCTCTGTCACCCAGACTGGAGTGCAGTGGCACGATGGTTTCAAGCGATTCTCCTGCTTCAGCCTCCTGAGTAGCTGGGATTACAGGTGCCTGCCACCATGAACAACTAATTTTTGTATTTTTAGTAGAGACAGGATTTCACTATGTTGGCCACACTGGTCTCGAACTCCTGACCCCGTGGTCCACCCGCCTCGGCCTCCCAAAGTGCTGGGATTACAGGCATGACCATCCTCGCCCCATCGGTTTCACTCATTTTTATCCCCCTTTCTACTTACCATTAAATTACTGCAGAGAGGCCAGGCACGGTGGCTCATGCCTGTAATCCCAGCACTTTTGGAGGCTGAGGCCAGCAGATAAGGAGGTCAGGAATTCGAGACAAGCCTGGCCAACATAGTGAAACCCCGTCTCTACTAAAAATACAAAAATTAGGTGGGTATGGTGGTGCGTGCCTGTAGTCCCAGTTACTTGGGAGGCTGAGGCAGGGGAATTGCTTGAACCTGGGAGGCGGAGTTTGCAGTAAACCGAGATTGTGCCACTGCACTCCCGCCTGGCAACAGAGCAAGTCTCAGTCTAAAAAAAAATAGAAGTGATGTCTTTATCCAAGGCACTATGCTGGGAACAAGGTAGAAATAGAAGTGAGATTTGGGGTCAGGAGCGCTGGCTCACACCTATAATTCCAACACTTTGTGAGGCCGAGGTGGGTGGATCACCTGAGGTCAGGAGTTCGAGACCAGACTGACCAACATGGAGAAACCCCATCTCTACGAAAAACACAAAATTAGCCGAGCATGGTGGCACATGCCTGTAATCCCAGCTACTCTGGAGGCTGAGGCAGGAGAATTACTTGAACCTGGGAGGCAGAGATTGCAGTGAGCCGAGATCATGCCATTGCACTCCAGCCTAGGCAACAAGAGCAAAACTTCATCTCAAAAAAAAAAAAAAAAAAAAAAAAAGGCGGGTGTGGTGGCATGCACCTGTAATCCTAGCTACTTGAAGGCTGAGGCAGGAGAATTGCTCGAAGCCGGGAGGCAGAGGTTGCAGTAAGCCAGGATCGCGCCATTGCACTCCAGCCCGGGTGACAAAGCGAGACTCCAACTGGAGGGGTGGGAGGTGGGGGAGGGAGAGTTGGGTATGGGGATGAATCTACCATGAATCTTAGCATTAGGGAATTTATAGACTAGTAAGGAGAAATAAAATGTGAAGGTTGAGTAATTTTTTTTTTAATTGGGGGACTCAAGGAGTTGAAAATGTATTTAATACATACATTTCAACACCCCAAATAATTTATAAAGTTATACATTTTGCAAAGCCCTGTACGAAGTGATGTATGGAATGGGAAATACAACAAAGGAATTTATTAATGTAATGTGACCAAATGAGGGCAATATATTAGATTGAAGGATGTATATCATGAGATGTAAAATCATGCCACTGAAACTACATAAACTCGACCAATACTAAAGCTCCTTTTTAAGTTGAGCTAATTCATATACCATAAAATTCACCTTTTCTAAGAGTACAATTCAGTGGTTGTTGATATATTCACAGACTTGTGTAACTGTCGCTACTATATAATTTCAGAATATTTCCATCACCACAAAAAGAAATCCCATACCCACCTAGGCATGCTGGCTCATGCCTGTAATCCTAGCACTTTGGAAAGCTAGGCGGGTGCAACAGCTGAAGTCAGGAGTTTGAGACCAGCCTAACCAACGTGATGAAACCCCGTCTCTACTAAAAATAAAAAATTAACTGGGCATGGTGGTGGGTGCCTGTAATCCAAGCTACTCAGGAGGTTGAGGCAGGAGAATTGTTTGAACCCATGAGGCAGAGATTGCAGTGAGCCAACATCTCACCACTACACTCCAGCCTGGGCAAGAAAGCAAGACTCAGTCTCAAAAAAAAAAAAAGAAGAAAAGAAAAGAAAAAGAAACCCTATACCCATTATCAGCCACTGCTCATTATGTCTTCCCCCAATCAGCCCCTATCCAACACAATTTTTTTCTCTATGGATTTGCTTCTTCTGAACATTTCATATCAATGAAATTAACAGGTGGCCTTTTGTGCCTGACTTCTTAGCATAATATTTTCAAGGTTTATGCATTTTGTAGCATATATCAGTGCTGCATTCCTTTTTATAACTAAATAATTTTTCATTGTATATATATATATATACAATA